AAATATGGAATTTGAAGGAAAATTAAAAACTAAATTTAAATAATTTTATGATCTAGTATTTAGACATACCATCTATTGGGAATTTAAAACACACTTTAAAAAAGAGACTAAATGAGTTTAGTGAGAGTTTAAAGAGAATGGGGCAGATGTCTGGTAGCTTGAGAACAAATTAAGTATTCTCTAAGTTTGATTTTTAAAATTTATTCTTGTATACCTTCAGGAGAATTTATGTTTGACAGAAAATACTTGCTTTATTTTAGATAGTTGATGAAAGAGTTGGTAGAGTGTAAAGAACATATCCAGGGTGAGAAAATGACATTGAGAAGGAGCTATGTGCGTTCTGAAAAACTATTTCTTTTTTTTTTTTAATTTAAATATATTAAATTTTTTTTTTTTAATCATGTTGTGCTGGTTTCTGCCAAACAGCAACAGTGGGAACCTATTTCTAATAGGGGATATGTCTGTTTAATGTCTGTATGTAGACTTCCCTTCCAGGGAAGGACTGCATTGGAGAAGGAAATGGCAACCCACTCCAGTTTTCTTGCCTGGAAAATCCTATGGACAGAGAAGCCTGGCAGGCTACAGTCCATGGGGTCGCAAGAGTTGGACATGACTTAGCGAATAAACCATCAAGGACTGCATGACTAAGAAGTGTGTCTGTTAGTACTTAAAAACATTTAGTCTGAACACGACTTTATCTCACATCTTATAATGGTTTTCCTTTTCTAAGTGTAATCAGCCAAAACTCTGTGACACCCTGTCCTTATCTATCTGTTTTCCCATGGTTGTAGTTTTCTTTGGCTGTCTTAGTCCCCCTTTGAAAAAGCATTCCCTACAGTGAACATTTTCCACGTGAACTGAGGATTGGTTACTAGAGGGATTTTAGGAATTATTAATGAGGAGATGGACAAGAGTTGGCTCTACCAACAATATGTTTGCAGTCCACTTGAAGCTCAAGTAGCTCAAGGACCCCCACTTGACGCAGCACCTCAGACAGTCTTCCCTGAGTGGATCTTGACCATCCTCTGTGTAGAATGACAGTTCCCAGGTCGGTTTATACGGGTGACAGATGCACCATCTGTTAATGTTTAAGGGACAATATGGGTCTGAGGATGTGAGAAAAGAGCACCCTTAAACATTTTGATTAACTGGAAGAAATAATCTTTGACTTATTTTGAAGCATCTGAATGAGACTTCAAGATGAACTTTAGCATCATTGTTTTAGACCATGCGCTCTTGGGTGTCTAAAGGTGTAATTTAAGGCACTAGAATTTCTTTCAGAACAGGACAGAGGATACTGAAGAAGCAACAAGTGACTTGACTAGATTATGGTGATCATTTCACAATACATACAAATGTTGAGTCATTAGATGTTGCACACCTAAAACTAATATAATGCTTTATGTCTATTATACCTCAAAAGAAAAACAAAGTATCAGATACAGGAAAGAATGAAGATCAATGTAAATGCTAAATTGTGTGTAAGTACAAATATTTACTATTTAAATCAAATAGACACCAAAATAGCATTCAAATTTACTAGATGAAGTTATTTTAAATATTTAAATATTTAAAGCCCTTGCATTATCCAATAAAAGTAATTATTAGCATCTGAATTTTCTAAATTGTGAACACATACTATAATACATAAAGTGATCATTAAAAGAACAGAGCAAAGGATAAAACAATCAAGTTAATAGTGAGAAAAAAAGTAGAATATTTTTCAGTTTGAAACTGAGATAAAGGACATATATTAGAAAATTAAAAAACAGCTTAAATAGCCATATTAATATTAGAAAGCAATCTGTAATGAAAAAATACATCATGAAGTATAAACAGAGTCATTGCATTATCATAAATAATCCCAGTTTAAATCACCAGGAAATTTTGGCATTCTACGCTGGTGTACATATCATTATACAGTTTTAAAATATATAAAGTAAAATTAATTAAGAAGATACCAAAAAAACCCACCACACACCTGGCATAGTAATTAAAGTCAAGCAGACAAAAATTATAAAGGAGATAGACTATTTGTATTATATAATCGGTAAGCTTGAGTTCACAAAATATACAAAATGCTCTATAGGATTATTTAAAGTTCAGGATGGTGGTTATATCTGGGAGGGCTTTAATGGGTTTTATTTCTCAGGTTCTGTGCTGGGTAACCAGGAGTTTTATCAGATTATTCTCATTGCTCATGGTGCCGCTTACATGGCATTTGAAATTTGCATATTTGGAAATTTGTCCAGCTTAATTTTATGTTTACAGTAACAAGATTTTATGCAAAGCATATTATTTTTCTCTTTTTATTCACTTTAAGCACTTATAATGTTTCATTTGATTATAATTTTATCTCAGACTGTGAAATGTCTAAAATATCAGGTGGTTGCATGAATCTATATAAGCATTAATGTTAATAGTACTGATATAATAGCATGATGGAAAAAATAGTCAATTTTACTGTATGATAATTTAAACAAAATAAAAAATAAATCAAAAGTCAAAGGATCAAAATAATAAATCAGAAATATAAAAAATAGCTTATTTAGCCATTTTAAATTTTATTGTATTAATGGAGATATTAATAGATTTAAGGAAATTATATTATGAAGTATCTGAAATATATATTTCATAATCTGAGATATTTTACAATTCAGTGAAACATTAAAAGTCCCTAAAATTATTAAAAAGAGTAAATTATTATGCTTTGCAGAAAACCTAGTAGGGATAGTGACAAAATTGAGCTATATATATTTTCAGGTATCTGTCATGTAAGGCAACAGTCCCCAACATTTTGGCACCAGGGACCAATTTCATGGAAGACAAATTTTCCACGGACTGGGGGTGGGGGGTGGTTTCAGGATTACTCAAAATGCATTCGTTACATGTATTGTGCACTTTATTTCCATTATTATTACATCAGCTCCACCTCAGATCATCAGGCATTAGATTCCGGAGGTTGGGGGCCCCTGCTGTAAGGGATACCATGAACACAATTAAAAGAAATACTTGCAAAACATCTGAGAAAGATTTATTATAAAGGTCTTAGATACAACAAAATGGTAATAAAATAATAGCTCATGTGTGTTCAGTGTGTATTTTGTAACTCCACTTGTATAGATGTTTAATCCTGATTCCAAACCTGTGAGGTAAGTGTTACTTACATCCACATTTTTCAAAAGAGCAACTGGAGGCTTAGAAAGATGAAGCGAGTTGACAGAAGTAGCATAGGACACGAGTTAGAACTCAGACCTGTGGTTCTGGGTCCAGGGTCCCTGTAGGGTTAAGACCACGACACACTACGGCTTTCCTGGAAAGGAAGGAGCTACCCAAATAGAAAATCAATGACAAAGACCAAGGGGCTAAGAAGTGACATGTCAGAGATGCAAACAGGAAAGAGACACACTTCCAGTGTCAAACTCACTATAAAGAAAATGCACATTTAAACAAAAAAAGGATGCAGTTTTTACCCACTGGAGTTTCAGAAAAAGTCACTTCAGGTATCCAAGGCTGGTGACATTAAGAGGAAATAGTTACTTTCATGCATTTTTGATGAAAATTCAGTATGATCTTTTTGTAGCACAGTAACCACTGTTTATAAAAATGCATAGCGAACAAGCTCTTTGTCTCAACAAATTCTTAGCAAGGATTCAGGAAGAGAATTTGAGACGCATGGACATTACAGCATCATTTAAATAGTAGATATTTCCCCCGCCACTCCAGAGTGGGGCTCAATACGGGAGAAGTAGACCAGTGGTTGAAGCAAGGTGAAGGACGGCTTCCTAAGAAACAAAATGCATAAGAGCCACTTCATAGCTTTGAGCACCCGGGAGGAAGGTGTTGTCTTCCCCGCAGTCACTAACGTGGCCACAGGTGAGAAGAGAAATCTCCACGCGTTCCTGCTTTCAGGAGTTTCCCGGAGTGCATCTGCCTCCCCATCAATGCTTTTTCTCAAGACAAGCGTTTGCCTAGTCTTCAGGGGTGGTAATTACTGATACAGGTCAAAACTCTGACCCTGATTTCCCAAGAGGAGTTTTCAATCTGTAGGCACGTTTAGGCACCCACGGTTGATTGTAATTCTAAATTCTTTCTTTAGATGCTCAGCTTTAGAGTAAGATCTGGCAGAGTTACTGGCGATGTGAAGTCAGAGTGGTGAAATATTGACTTTTTCCTGGAAGCACGTACCATCTTCACATTATTCAACAGCCTTCTACTGCTGTCCGTGTAGAGAGATGATCTCCAGGTCCTGACATAAATAGGCAGGGTGAAATGTTTTTCTAGTTCAGGTGATGTTTGTATTGGTTTCTCCTCTAGGCTTAGTTCCTAATGACCCTGCCCTTAAATAAAGATTGCTGTCTGCAGCCAGGTGTCATTGGTGGCCATGTGGTCACACATACAAGCACATGTTGTTTGCACCCAAGGTTCTGGTCTCCTAATTTCACCTTCCCCTCACCCGAGCCAGCCAACAAGAAATAACCCATGTGAGTCAAACGTCTAGAAATTCTTCCCTGAGATAATGCACTTTCCTGAAGGAGGAACAACAGATACCCTTTCATACAAATAAAAATAAAACAAAACTGGAGCTGTCAAGTTCATATAAGCTTTCAGAGAAGAAAAATGTCCTTTGAGTCTTAAAATAATGCTATTTTAGGAGGCGTATTGTGGGACCACCAGACAGGTGCAGCTGGGTTACAGCAAAGTCTCTGCTGATCCTAGTAATTTGAGAACTTCCAAATTTAAATCTTCTGTGCTGAACTGTGCCTTATAATCACATTGTAGAAAAACAAGGTGATTTTGACAAACCTGTTCTTAATTTGGCAGCCTTCTTCCTCATGTAATATTCCTGTCCAGCCCTTTAGAATGTTGCAGAGTTTTAACAAAGTGGAACAAGGTGTGTGGGGGAGTGGTACTCAGTGAAACCTGCAGGGGTGGGGTCCGTGATACTGTGAATTGTTCGTGGGATTTTCTAATAATGAGCATGATTTTCATTCTCCAAGCTTCAGGTACCACTCAGGAATCTGCCCGCTAATTACAGCACGAAGGCCCAGTAGATGGCCAGGTTGTCAGGCTGCATGGTGGAGCTCTCTGCCAGGTACCTGCTCCATTATAAACAAATCGTAACGACAGAAAGATGACAGCGTTTTATATTCTGGAGAACTGCAAGGAGATCTGAGGTTGTCAGGTAACATGGTAATTACGTTTAAAGAAACTTGATAATTCAAAAAAATACGTTACTGAGTAATCTGCCGAAACATGTAGTTATTATGTGGCTACATGTCTCTTTCCATTATGTTAGCACCAAATTATGGGTTAGAATTCTTATATCTACCTTTTTCACTCTCTCAACAAAAGATGCCGGAGTTGAAACGCTGGTGGGGTGGGGGAGGAGTTCGTTCCCTACTATAGTTGACAAAAGAATGAAAGTTTCGAGCACAATGCAACATATAATTTCTTTCAAGTTTCTTCTTAAGCCAACATCTAAGCTGCACGGGGAGGCCCTCTGGAAGACTATTTTTGTCATTTTGAAGCTGGCATCATGTACTGCTGATGGAAGAAGAAAGCAAGAGCAAATGTCATTCAAAGCATTTTCTGCCGTGGCCGCCTGGGGCTTTGTCGGAACGCCCGCAGGAACAAAATCCTCCGGGCGTCCCCAACAATTCCCATTAAAAGGGGGACTGGAGTCCCACGGAAGCTTGCAGACATTCTAAGTCACCTGAGGCGGATTTTAAGTTTATTGTAAAGCATAATCACACAGGTTAAGGGGGTGGATTAGCATTGCAGCTGGCAAAGAGGAGTCAATGGAATAAATAAATCCTTTCAACAACAGCAGCGCTTGTTCCTGGAAAATAATGCAGAAGGGAAGGAAGGCAGGTCAATTCCCTGGTGAGAATTTGTGTTCCATGACAGGCAAGAGGGAGATGTAAGTTGTTAGCAGCACATAGATGCTTGCTCTCATCTGTGGAGCAGTTTCTAGAGTATAGCTGTGTTGGGTGTGGTAGGCTACTCAACAGACTTTCTGACTAGGATGGCGTGTGAAAACTAAGCTTCTGGGAGATAAAGATAAACTGGTGAGGAGCAGTAATGTCCAGGTGGGCAGTGAAAAAGCAAAGGAAATGAAACCTACTGGATGAAGGACTTGAGCTGTGGATCAAATGACTTGCCATCAACTTTTGAGGACATTTTGAGGATGCATTGCCATTCAAATAATCTAGTATGTAATCAAATGCTCATTAATTTAATAATGTATTGCTTTATTTTTATTTCTTAATGGTTCTTTTGTAAAATTTACGTGCTTATTGATCTAAAGTTTTAGGGACATGGCTAGAGCTTTTGTATTTTTTAAATTTTAGGAACAAGGACTTGACATTGCCTCTTTTTTGAGCTACACTGTTTAAATGCTACCCAAAGAGCAATTAATCAAGAGGAGCCCTTAGTGTCGGTCCTCATGCTATTTATACTCATGAAAATCTGTGACTTCAGTGAATAAATTATTTATTGTTATTTAGTTCGCAGAAGCTGAGAGAAGTGGCTGTCAGCACAGGAAATGAATGAAGCATACCACAAGTAGGATGCTGGATTGAACTAAGAAGAAGGTAAAGTCTTGAATTTGGATTCCAATGGTGTATTTCTGTCTGGGATTGGAAAGTCAGGTTGTCTAGTTGTTCCTGTTTATGTGTTGTGTACTGTGTATTGTGTCCTGGGTGGGGGCAGAGGGCAAAGCAGCATCTTGGGTTTTTAGTTGCCTGTGGACTTAAAAACAATCAGCATGGTGCCACCTCCTTTAAGTCTGGTGAGTCTCTGACTGAACCACGGGGCTGAAGGTCTTGGTCAAGAAAGACCTCATAGCCCTCTTTTCAGCCCTGGTCAGACATGGAGCACAAGGCTTATTTTTGGGCAGCACCATCTCAAAGGGCTGTTTATGAAGTAGTGTGAAGGGTCTGGAAGTTACAAATACTACACTTCATAAGCAGGGGCTCTTCAGCCCAGATAAGAGAAGGCTCATGGTGGCCTTTCAAGTGTCTGGAGTTCTGTTGTGTTGAATAGATAGTAGACTGTTCAGCTTTGCTCTTGGAAGGCAGGACTGTGAACAACTGCCAAAAGTTACAGAATGTGACCAACCGGCTTAAGGTGAAGTGGGCATTTCCAACTTCCACTGCTTGTCAATCAAGCAGACCTGAGTGAGTCCTCCAGATGAGAGGTTGGAACCATGGAGTTTTCTTCTTACCCTGAGTCAGGGCTTTGACATTGTCTCTACTTGGCATAATAGCTAAGATCTTATGGTAAATTGGTAAGTAATCATTACTACAGTTACAAGTTAAAAAAAAATTACTCCTTGCTTCTTCACAGGGCTTCAAATCAGTTTGGTTAATTATAATAAAATATATTTCCACATGAATTGGGATAGGTTACGATCCTTTGTTTAAGTTTCCTAATATTTTATTTTTAAGGTGATTACCTAAACACGTCTCAGGTGGCTCAGTGATAAAGAATCCATCTGCAATGCAGGAGACGCAGGCGACACGGGTTTGATCCGTGGGTCAGGAAGGTCCCCTGAAGGAGGAAATGGTAACCCACTCCAGTATTCTTGCCTGAAGAATCCCATGGACAGAGGAGCCTGAGGGCAGCAGTCCATGGGGTAGGAAAGAGTTAGACAGGACTGAGGACTGAGCACACACAGCATAACCTAAAAACTTACTGAAATCATCTGATGTGAACAATATTTTATTAAAATTCACCATTCTGAATAAAAGTGCTGACATTTCTTTGAAGTATTTTTAAAAAGTAGAAAATTTTTATCCATGAGCTGATGAAAGCTGTTGCCACATTGTTTGCACACACAAGCAGGAGTCAAGGCCACTGTGATGGAATTATCCCCACTTCTTTGCCACATAATCAGATATCTAAAGAAATTTTCTGGAAGAAGGAGAGAAATGCTATGGTTGGAAAGACTGTCATTTACATGAAGTGTGTGAGAAGAGATGCTTTGATATGGTCGTGAGGCAGTAGGTAACATGGGATTCTGGTCAGAGTTAGAGGACTTCCTGTGGGGTCATCAGAGGAAGAGATGCTCTGGGTTCCAGGTTGGAGCCTGGAGGAAGTAACTAATGGTGTTCTTGAACACAGCGGCCAAGATAGAAGTCATGTTTCAGAGAGGAGAGCCTGTGCTAACTGAAGAAAGAGACAAGGACATATCTGGGAGAGGATGGTGCAAAGTAAGAGGGAGATGAAATACTGGGCAGGGTGGCATTTGACTCGGCAACTCAGGAAATGGCCTGGTGACTGGAGGAAGCTGCCAGGGCAGGGCTGGTGGGGCGGGGACCATGTCAGCCGGCCCTGGAGTCCTGTGAGATGCTGTACAGGAATTCCAGTCTTTACTCGTATTGTCTCCAGATACCTTCTAGGGTAAACAGCCCCTGAAAGCCCACTGACTTTCCCTGGTCCCCCTATTCTTTAGCCCCCAAATTCACTCTCCCAAGGTGGGGGTGAGGGGCAAACAGTCCATCTGTGTGGTCCCTTCCTCTCGTGCATCCCTTGGCCTCCTCTCCCCCCAACCCTGTCAGCCTCCTCCACATGCTGACGTCCATGCTGCTGCAGCAGGGGTACCATGCCTACACCATCACCTCCTTCCCTGGACTTCTGGCCTCCTCTTCTGCCCACTTGCCTTCATCTTCATCAAGATTCTGTCTAGGCAGAGCCCTCCGTGCTTCCCTGCTGGTTGGGGTGAGTATGCAGAGCCTAGCCAGCAAATCTTAAAGGCTCAGGGAAGTCCTGAAGTTTACTTTTGAAACTGGAAATCACCAGAAACTGATGCCAGTCCCAGATTCCATGCATCGGCCATTACCTGTTGCTGATCTCAGATGGTTTCACCCAGTTTGTCTTCTATCAGCTCTAGCCTAGACTCCTGCTACTGTGTGTGTGTGTGTGTGTGTGTGTGTGTGTGTGTGAGCTCAGTCATGACTGACTCTTTGTGACCCTATGGACTGGAGCCCTCCAGGTTCCTCTGTCTTCTGTCCATAGGATTCTCCAGGCAAGAAATACTGGAGTGGGTTGCCATTTCCTTCTCCAGGGATCTTCCCGACCCAGGGACCAAATCCGAGTCTCTTTCATTTCTTGTATTAGTGGGTGGGTTCTTTACCACTAGCACCACTACTATGTCCTATTTCCCCGGATCTGTGTTTTTCATACCTTTCTAAACTTATGCCTATATATATATATATATATATATATATGTGTGTGTGTGTGTGTGTGTATATATATATATATGTTCAGAAAGCATAATGTTGAATTTTCTTCCTTCTTTTCTTTTTAAATTGATGACATATGATGGTCAAATCCAACCCTTAGAGTATGCGTTAGTTCCAGATAAAAATGTATGACCTTAAAACCTTATAATCCAAGTTACTCTTGGTAAAAGCAGCTGAAACTTCCATTTATAGAACCTATTTAGAGATTTTTCCAGATAATAAGGGTTGAAGAGAAACACCAAGGACTGCCTGAAAATAGCAATGAGGCCTCCCCTTGGACAGCTGCAGCTGAGCCGGGGGGACTTCACACTGGTCTCAGATCTGAGATGAGACTCTGAAACTCGACCAGCTTGCTAACAATAGTGTACCGTGCTGAGTAATTGCTAAGAGGGAAAGGCACACAAAAGAAAAAAAAATAGTACTACACCACATTATTCCTATTATTTGAAGTTACCTATGAGTCATTTGAAAGAAAGTCACTGGAAAACAGACAACATTGCACGTGTCAACTCCTACTTGTTAAAAAAAAACATTAAAACAAAAAAACCCAGCAATTCGCTTATTACTGAAAGTACATGCAAATGCAGGTATGTTTTTAGAATGGAAGGACTGTTTCTGAATTAAGACGCTTGGGTGCAATCTACATGAGGTCAGTTATTCCACCTTTGCTGAGTAATTTGGCTCTGACATGGCCTCTGATTTGCATTGTTAGGCAGAGTGGGGAGGTGGTTACTGATGACAGGATGGTAAAATCTCTGGGGTCTAATGTAGAGAGATGCTATTCTTGACCTTGTCCTGTGTGCCAGGGTCTATCAACCCGCAGGGTCGGCTCTCCAGCCAAGTCTTTTGGTCCATCCTCAGCAAGATGGAGGCTGGTTAAGCAGCCCCCTGAGAGGTGGCCTGCTGCCCTGAGCAGATTCCAAAAGACACACGTGGGCTCCACCCAGTGGAGGAGCCCACAGGGAAGCATCCCTAAGTCATCTAGGACTTTGGCGGTGTCGGTCTGGGAATAGGAAATGATATGTAGAGGCATTGCTGTCAAAGCAGAATCCAGAAATGATGTTTCTAGGACCCCTGGGCCTCTGAGTTGAGAGTAGTATAGATGGCAGTTGAATTCATTTGATTTTCCAAATATGACAGAAGAAAATAAAGGAAAGTGCTTGTGATTTGGGGCTAGAGAAAGCCTCTTGGAGAAAGAGTTAAAATTCCAAAGGCTTCAAGGAAAAGACAGATTTATCAGCATCAAACGAATGCTTACAGCTGGGGAAAACATCATAAATAACATCCAAACTTAAGAAGCATTCTAGAAGAAAATATTTGCGACCAGATTAGACATGATTCATATCCCAAATACACACAAAGCTGGTAAAAATCAATGAAAGATAACTCGATAGAAAAAAGATGACAAGATATGTACAAGTAACTAATTTATAAAAAAAATACCAAATATAACAATGCATAAAAACAGTAATGTTAAGCATTGTTGTTTTGTCACTAAGTCATATCTAGCTCTTTGTGACCCCGTGGACTGTAGCCCCTCTGTCCATGGGATTCTCCAGGCAAAAATACTGGAGTGGGTTTCCATTCCATTTTCCAGGGGGATGTTCCTGGCTGAGGGATCAAACCCGAGTCCCCTGAATTGGCAGGAGGGTTCTTTACCACTGAGCCACCTGTGAAAGCCAATTATAATTACACAGAAGCAAATTAAAACATCATGTTTATGTCCCACATATTCCAAACAAACAAAAAATAAACAAGATGTAACAGCCCAGCTTGTCAAGGATGTGAAGAAACAGCATACAAGACAGTGCTGCTGGGGCTGAATTTTGGTCCAGGTTTTTTCAGAAGGTCATCAGGATGTATTTAACAAAAACAAACAACAAGCACATGCTATTACTCAGCAATTTCAGTTCTTGACAGTGACCTGCAAAATACTCACTCATTTTTTAAATGATAGTATAAAAATAATAGGGCTTCCCTGGTAGCTCAGTCAGTAAAGAATCTGCCTGGAGTGCAGGAGATGTATCATTAGACACAATTTACATTTGCATGTCACACAATAACCCAGATGGTGTATTACAAGACATTTCAAAGAAAATATTCTGGAATCATAAGAATCAAATTGAAAAACAAATTTTAGAAGTTTCTTAGAGAGTAGAATTTCCCATTTTGACAATAACAGCCACGTTTTCAGTAAAACCTCATTGAGAAGCTTTAAAAGCACATTGTATATGCGTTGTCCTGCTTACGTTCTAAGCAAGCACAGAAACAAAACCTCACTGTTTACAAGTTCAGAAGAGCCTGTCTCTGTGACTCTGCCTTGTTTCCGGTAATTAGACTAAAGAGTCCTCAGTGAAGGCATGGTTCTTTCCATATGGTCAGAGGAGGAACCAAGACAGTGGGGTGCAGAGTATAATATTTTTCAAACACTTCAGAAACATTTGGTAGGGCTATTTAAAAAGTTAATAAATTAGTGGACAGGTAATAAATACACTCTGTACAGAAGCCCAAGGGCACCAAACAGACAAGAGTGAAGTGGGCCCAGTTCACCTCCCTTAGCTCTTTGTGACCCCGTGGACTGTAGCCCCTCTGTCCATGGGATTCTCCAGGCAAAAATACTGGAGTGGGTTTCCATTCCATTTTCCAGGGGGATGTTCCTGGCTGAGGGATCAAACCCGAGTCCCCTGAATTGGCAGGAGGGTTCTTTACCACTGAGCCACCTGTGAAAGCCAATTATAATTACACAGAAGCAAATTAAAACATCATGTTTATGTCCCACATATTCCAAACAAACAAAAAATAAACAAGATGTAACAGCCCAGCTTGTCAAGGATGTGAAGAAACAGCATACAAGACAGTGCTGCTGGGGCTGAATTTTGGTCCAGGTTTTTTCAGAAGGTCATCAGGATGTATTTAACAAAAGCAAACAACAAGCACATGCTATTACTCAGCAATTTCAGTTCTTGACAGTGACCTGCAAAATACTTACTCATTTTTTAAATGATAGTATAAAAATAATAGGGCTTCCCTGGTAGCTCAGTCAGTAAAGAATCTGCCTGGAGTGCAGGAGATGTATCATTAGACACAATTTACATTTGCATGTCACACAATAACCCAGATGGTGTATTATAAGACATTTCAAAGAAAATATTCTGGAATCATAAGAATCAAATTGAAAAACAAATTTTAGAAGTTTCTTAGAGAGTAGAATTTCCCATTTTGACAATAACAGCCACGTTTTCAGTAAAACCTCATTGAGAAGCTTTAAAAGCACATTGTATATGCGTTGTCCTGCTTACGTTCTAAGCAAGCACAGAAACAAAACCTCACTGTTTACAAGTTCAGAAGAGCCTGTCTCTGTGACTCTGCCTTGTTTCCGGTAATTAGACTAAAGAGTCCTCAGTGAAGGCATGGTTCTTTCCATATGGTCAGAGGAGGAACCAAGACAGTGGGGTGCAGAGTATAATATTTTTCAAACACTTCAGAAACATTTGGTAGGGCTATTTAAAAAGTTAATAAATTAGTGGACAGGTAATAAATACACTCTGTACAGAAGCCCAAGGGCACCAAACAGACAAGAGTGAAGTGGGCCCAGTTCACCTCCCCGCTCTTGGCCGCTCTCAGCTGGACTCACAGGGGTGTGTGATGCAAAGTCAGCACACCTGGGGGGCTTCCCTGGTGGCTCAGATGGTAAAGAACTCACCTGCCAATGCAGGAGACCTGGGTTCGATCCCTGGGTTGGGAAGATCCTCTGGAGAAGGGCATGGCAACCCACTTCAGTATTTTCGCCTGGAGAATCCCATGGACAGAGCCTGGCGGGCTACAGTCCATGGGGTCGCAGAGAGTCGGACACGACTGAGTGACCAAGCACACACACAATACACATCTCATTCTTATTGTAGTTGGTGACTTCTTACCTGTGATTCCACAGCTTTATTTTCTTCCCTTCTGAGATCTTCAAGGTGATTCTAAGCCAGCTGCCCCTTCCTTTCAAAAGGCTGTGGGATATGCTATTTATGGATATACTATTTTTTCTTTCTTTAACAAAGCCTTATTGATAAACACTTGATTTCCCCCCCCCCCAAACCTTTGAAGTTTAAAAAATGCTGCAGTTTTTTTGGGGGGAGGGTTGGCTTTTTTTGTTTGGGGAAAATCTTATATATGAGTAATTACAACAGGAGCATAAATTCCTAGAAGCAGAATTGTTAGGTCAAAAAGAATGTGCATTTAGAATTTCAGTAGTGCCGTTTGAGTGTGCCTCATAGAGGCTGTGTTTCTCTCCACTGACAAAGAATGGAAGTCTTGATTTTCCTATGTCTTTGGTAATACTGTGTGTTACCAAATGGTTTGCTAATCTGAGAAAAACAGTATGTTATAGTTTTGTGTTTCTTTTTATATGAGAAGAGATGATAACCTTTTCATAATTTTGAGCATTTGTACTTCTGTTTTTCTAATCCCTTTCTTACGTTCTTTGACCATTCTTCTCTGGGATCTAGCTTTAAAAAATGTCAGAACATTTTCTTAGAAGAAAAAACCCAGCTTTGTCTCACCAGTGTTTTTGTAAAGTTACACTTCATTAACAGTGTTCAGTGCTGTATAAATTTTAAAAGAAGTCTTAACGAATTAGAAATTATCCTTGTATTTTTCTCTTGTTTTCTGCTTTTTACAATCTTTCTTGAAATTGACTGATTGGATGGATATTAAAGTACAGTTGATTTACAATATTTGTTGTCATTTGGTCGCATAGTCACGTCTGACTCTTTGCAACTCTATGGACAGTAGCCCGCCAGGCTCCTCTGTCCCTGGGATTCTCCAGGCAAGAATACTGGAGTGGGTCGCCATGCCCTCCTCCAGAGGTACTTGAGGTTTAAAAAGTAAATATATATAATTAGTTACTGTTGGTCACTCAGTCGTGTCCAACTCTTTGTGACTCTATGGACAGTAGCCCGCCAGGCTCCTCTGTCCCTGGGATTCTCCAGGCAAGAATACTGGAGTGGGTCGCCATGCCCTCCTCCAGAGGATCTTGCCAACACAGAGATTGAACCTGCTTCTCTTACATCTCCTGTATTGGCAGGTGGATTCTTTACCACTAGTGCCACCTGGGAAGCCCCAGGAGTTCTTTGGCTGTTATGAAAAAAATTCATATTTTACTTAAACAGATTGAACTTCCAGTAAATGTAAGGGACTGTGCGAGAATTTTCTGTCTCTTGTGTCATTGTGAAATTCTGTGAGGTAGATATTACTTTCAAGATGGGAAAAGTGGGTCTCATAAAGTGTCACCCTATTTCCCAAACTCCGATAACCAGATGATGCTGGAGGAGACGTTTTGGGGTCTCAGACCACATCGAGGCAAAGCTGCACCTGAGCAGCATCTTCCATCCCTCTGACCCTCCTCACACCACTCTCCTGATTCCCGGCATGATGGCTGCATTTCTGTTTCTCTGATGCTCCTCCCTTCCGGCTTCTCAGGGCACAGGTGTGCGTGTGGGATGAGAACCAGGAACGGGGTTTCAAGGTGACGGGACAGACTTGTTCCAACCAACCGACCTGCGAGAATGTTCTTCACGAGTAGGGCCTGAGTGAGACGAGGCGAGGGAGGAAAACTGGTGTATGTATTCAACATTTGGACCTCTGTCCGGTGTGAGCTTTTATGTCATTCTTCACTTGCAAAAACATGGCATTAAAATATGATGTATCTGATTCCTGAGTTTATTGGCTCTACTTTAATCTGGATTGCAGGTCAACGGTCCACTCGCCTCACCCTGAGATTCTGCAGGAACACATGCAGGAGGGAGACAAGAAAGAAAACCTCTGCTCAGAAAGTCAACTCCTTGGTGAGAAGCCACCAGAGACAAGGAGAGATAAATCCCATTTCTGCCGAGACTGCCGAGGGTCATGGACAGGGAGCAGCAAGGTGAAGCGCTAATGTTCACACTTTTCCAAAATAATCACATTTTTGCTTCTCTCTGACTTTTGAACTAGTCGTATACTTGTTCCCACTTCTGTGCTTGTCAATGAGAAAACAATACATATTCTGAAGTAGCACATTTATTACCCATTCAAATTCAAATTCTTGTGAAACGTGGGGTTTATTTATTTTTTTTTAATTAAAACCAGTATCTTTATTTATAAAGACATTATCCCTTTAACCAGTATTTTCTGGTTGCCTCATTACTTTTCAGAATCACATCTTGGCTTCTTTGAGTTGATTTGTTTTAGAAATACCTGGGATTTATCAAACATGTTTTTCTTGTTAGCTGTGTGAAGTTGAAGGAATAAATAGGATCGTTTCTATCTGCTCTGCTTAGGTAGTTCTCGGAGATTTCTCACTGTGTATTTTTGTAACTTTTCACAGTGGGTTCAGCTGGTGATATGATCACCAGGCTCAGAGGTTTTAAATAATTCTGTTTCCATTGCATATCACACCCAGCATCACGCCAGATATCTGCTATTACAATTACATCTGAGCGAAGGGATTTCTTGGGGCATAAGTCTCTGTAGGCAGAGTTGTCTTACCCCGAGAGAATTTCTGTGAGTAATTACTACACAGGAGCATCCCTAGTAAAGAAAGTGAAAGTTGCTCAGTTGGTCTGACTCTTTGCTACCCCATGAATGGTAGCCCACCAGGCTCCTCAGTCCATGGGATTTCCAGGCAAGAATACTGGAGTGGAGAGGAGATTCCTTCTCCAGGGGATCTTCCTGACCGATGGGTCGAATCTGGGTCTCCTGCATTTGCAGGCAGATTCTTTACTGTCTGAACCACCAGGGAAGCCCCTAGTAAAGAAGATGTTCACTTAATCAGACCAACTTCCCCTTACCCCATCAATCGATGATCCTCTCACATCTATGCCGGCCTCTTCTGCCTAAGAATTAAGAGAACTTCCAGTATCCTTAAATAGTCTCATGGTCTCTGGGGCCATGACTGGGGAAAAGTGGAAGAGACAGAGTCTTGCTGGATGTGTCTGTGGTTCTTTTTCCTGCAACAGTGTGAGGTGTCCACCCATAATTTCCTGCCAGTCCCGCTACTGTTCCACATTTAATTCACATTAAGTCCCATTTGGAAACATGTGGAGGAGTGACTGAACTGTCTTCTCATTTGAGAGGAACGAACATCTGTCTTTGATCATGCTCCTGATTAGGTTCTCAGAAGCAAAGATAAAACAAGGTGAAGAGGTGATATATTGAAAGCAGAACTGAGGTTTTGGATGGAGGAAGAGAAGAGGACAGCAACAATTAAGCAAAAATCGACACCGTGGACCCGAGGTGTACACAGCCCCCAGGTCTCCTTCTCCTAACTCGGCCAAGAAACTTTATAGAGTCTGTCTCCGTTCATCACTGCCCTGGCAGAAATATTCACACATTGATGAATCACAGCCATTAAAACAGAGGCAAGACTTAGAATGTCCACCATGTTGAACATAAGAGCTAAAGGGCACTGCACATTTTGAATTATTGGAAACTGTTTGAACTCAGGAACACAATAGAGGAAAAGTGGATCCATTTGCCATTTGAGGTCCATATAGTCAAAGGTATGGTATTCCCAGTAGTCATGTAAAGATGTAAGATTTGGACTGTAAAGAAAATTGAGCACCAAAGAATTGATGCTTTCAAACTGCGGTGCTGGAGAAGACCCTTGAGAGTCCCTTGGACAGCAAGGAGATCAAACCAGTCCATCCTAAAGGAAATCAACCCTGAGAATTCATTGGAAGGACTGATGCTGAAGCTGAAACTCCATTACTTTGGCCACCTGATTCGAAGAGCCGACTCATTGGAAAAGGGTACGTCTGTTACCCCGAGGGAGCGGGTCTGTTGGAGCAGCCACACCTGGGACACTGTGCAGAAGGACGGGGCCCTGTGGCTCCTCTGCCAGCCTGGTCTGCTCTGTGGTTGTTAACCTAAGGAATGTCTAAACCTAGAGTTGTCGAAAAGAAGAAGGCTGTTTTTGTTGGAATGTCTGGGATTTTATTCACTTTCCCCAAGATTCCCATTTCAGAAGCTTTAAACTATACGAGTATTTTTTAAACAATAAAATTTTGAGTTTTTCAATGCAGTTCTAAGATGTAGAACACCCCCGAGAAGTCTAGATTTGGTTCACCCACAAAATAATCCAAGCCAAGTACCTTGAACTTAACCTGAACTCCTCCCCTCCTCCCACCACCGTCGCAACATTTTCCACTCCTAACATCACTACTTTAGAACTTGGGTCTCTGGCAACTGTGTCATCCATGATTAGTAAAACAGTGACACAATGACATCATGTCTATAAAATAATCACAAAAAATGCTAACTATTAATGACTAAATCTCAGAATGGAATTCAAGCAATGCCAGTGGTGGCTAGATTTGCTTTCTATATACTCATCTTGTGAAATTTAATAGATTTGATTCCTACCTTCTCCTCCTGCCTAATTTCTTCCCTTCTTCCAGTTCTCCACTGTCCCATCCCCTCTCTGTCCCAAGAAGCTTGTAGTAAGAAGGCCTGTTAAGCTTCAAAACCACCAGGTTTGTCCTCTCGGGTCACTGTTGGGAGCTTTTGTTCATCTCCAGCAAGAAGCCCAGCTTTTCTGTGGATCCAGGTCCTATGTGAACTTCCAGACACGCCATGGTTCATGAGCCGTGGGAGAGACACGGAAATGTGAAAGCGCACACTTTGTCCAGATGGAGGCAAGTAAAAATCTGTCTTGCCTACTTGGACAGTGAAAGCCAGGAGTGCAGATCACAAAAGTCATGGAATGTTAGCCGCTTACAAAGCAGTGGAGTGCTAGGACTGGAATTCAGTCCAACACCTCCACTGAGTGTCGCCAACATTTTACAAACAGTAGGCTTTTAAGCCTAAGCCAGAGTGAGTTGTGAAGGAAATGCCATCATAGGAGAAGCTTCCAAAATGCCCTGCACCATCGATAACTCTCTGACTCCCTGAAACTCCTTACTGTTGCTAGGTCAGCTGTGAATCTTAAAGTCTATATTTTTGGAAGAAATACATGTGCATTTATTTATTCAGTAAATATTAAGAACATGTTCTCTCATGTTAGATGTGAGGGTTTTCTTTCCTTTTATCCCTTTTAAGCCATGGTCCAGCATTCATGCTCCGGTCCAGTGATTCTAGAGTGTGACATGGAGCCTGAATGCTGTACAAATGTGTTTATACACTGCAGGATCTGTCGTGGACATTTCCTGGCTCACTTGAGTTCCCTACGACTCACTTTCTTGTTTGACTATAAATCCCCAAAGGACAGAAGGTCTTCTGATGCATCAGGTGGTCTCTTAACCACTGGCGCCACCTGGGAAGCCCGTCGAGTCCGGGTACCAATGCCTAAAGCAGCCTACCGCTTACTCCGCTGCTGGTGACACTCTGCACAGCCATACAAGCCTTCGTCCTGATTCCTGCTACAGACTCCTCGAGCCCGGGGCTGGCAGGTTTTGAGGCCCCAGATGAAGCACGAAGAAAGGATCCAAACGGGGCAGCCCTTGTAACAAGTCCTCTCTGTCCAGCATCGGAAACTGTGCATGAACTGTGCAGGTGACCTTTTCCCTTCCTCTGCCTCTGCTTAATCAGATCACGTGACCTCTGGGAGCCTGGTGCTGGGATGTTCAGGAGGACATGAAAGCTTGAAAACACACCCTTTTTTTTTGGTGGGGGGGGGGGGTCCATGCCTTTGGAGGCATACTAAAATCCTCTTGAATGCTGTTGTCTTTTTCTCATTGAAAATATCAAGTCTGTTTTCTATATAAACAGGCATTTTCTTTTATCTTGCTGCTATTGTTTTACATTCCAACCTTATGGCTTAAATATTTCATTTGTCTCAAAGTCATTTTTTTTTAACATGGCCTGATTATTTGAAACAATCTCGCTTATGTTGGAAAAGAATTGTAAGTGACCTCTCTTTCAACTGAGGAGGAAAACAAACATACAAATAGAGATTTTTCCCTGGATGACTTGCAGGGGTTAGTCATACATATTTCCTCTGGGTTCAGCATAACCTGAAATTGAAAGAGAAGCATGAAAATGGCTTTCTGAGTATCTGTCCTGTATGGTGTTAGCAGGGAGACTCTGCTGAGGCCACCAACTGGAGGAGAAAAAAGAGATTTCAGTGTTTGGTGATTAGGACAGTAGTGTATTCATTTTACAACTTTTTTTTTTTTTTTAATATAGCTAATTTATGATGTCAAGTTAGTTTCAAGTGTACAGCAAAGTGACTCAGTTACATACATATATATGTATATATACATATACTTTTTTCAGACTCTTTTCCACTGTAGTTTATTCAAAGATATTAAGTGCTCATTTTATGTCTTCCGTAAAGGTAAGTCAGAGATCAGAGTGTTAGAAGGAGGATGGACAGAAGACCAGATGATCTGTATTTACACGTTGGGCTGATTGATTCGTGGCAAAATCACAGGGCAGAAGACAATTGTCTCTGTTGTCACTGGGGTCCTAAACCTCTCATTGTGCCCCGTTCTGCTTCTTGCCCTCCCAGGCCTCGCTGAGTCCTATTCTGTAAGGACGCCCTCTTGTATGTCCACCAACAGTGGAGGTTGGCAGACATTTTCTGTCAATGCTGAGCTAGAGAGTGCTGCCGTGGAGTCCCTTCCTGCCCCGCCGTGTGACTGGTGTGTCTTACTGTAGAGACGACAACTTCCCCAAGGCAGTGCCTTGCTGTGAGCTCACTTATGCCCTCAGTTGGTTTTTGAAGTCGTGGATGGATGTCAGAGGAAAATCACTGATGGAAGTGGGAGAATTTGGTTTCTCTGGAGGTCTCACCACACCCCTACCCTGGCCCAGACATACAGCACACAGCAGAGGGCCATGTTGCTGCCCCTGTTCTATTTCTGACCCAGGGGCCTGACTGCCTCCATTCTGGCTGCAGGATTCTCCTGGTTTCTGACAATAGCTCCCTGTGCCATTCATTTTGTTGGGGTTATTGGGAATTTCTTATTGATTCTAAAGTGAATTTGATTGTTGTCCCTTATTTTTAGCCAGTGGTGTTAGAGACGTGTACTTACTATGTGTCTTTCCAGCTACATTTATAGGATCATCCTGGGTCCTCTTTTCTGCTCACATTGTGCTCTTCTGCACGAAGCAGCCCAGACCTGGCAACAGAGAGATGCTGTGGACTTGGGTATCCTTGCTGCTCTCAGGCACTGGTAGGATGTTACCTGTAGAGTTACCACTGTGGTTTCCTCACTAGTGAGGTGGTTCTCAAATACAAATGGAATAATAACAATGCATTTTGGATGAAGAATTAACTTTGAAGTGTTTATTAAGATTTTACCACAGAGATGTCATTTATCTCAATATTTGGGAGAGTTAGGGCTTCCCTGGTGGCTCAGTGGTAAAGGATCCACCTGCAATGCAGGAGACTTGGGTTCAGTCCCTGCATTGGGAAGATCCTGTGGAGAAGAGAATGGCAACCCTCTCCACTATTCTTGCCTGGAAAATCCAGAGCCTGGTGGGCTATAGTCCATGGGGTTGCAAAGAGTTGGACTTGACTGAGAGACTAACACTTTCACTATCACTTCAGCTGGAGGAGTTATAACCACTGGATGTATTTGAAAAGCAATTTTATCCTCTAAATGGGATGTGCTTGAATAAGGCCGCCATGACCTTTTTCACCAAGTCTGAATTGCCCATCCTTGCAGGGTAAGGAGCCTGTGTCACGTGGAGGCCTAGGCCTCCTGGAACTGGATCCTCTCCCTTGAAAAACTCTCCCCAGTGTTTAGCATAATTTAGAGATTCCTGCCGAACATGACTGTGAAGACCCTAAAGACGGGTCTTCCCTGGTGGTCTAATGGCTAAGAATTCCATGCTCCCAATGCAGGGGGCCTGGGTTCAACCCCTGGTCAGGGAACTAGATCCCACCTACCACAACTAAGACCTAGCACAGGCTAAATAAATAAATGAATATTTTTGAAAAAGACCCTAAAGTTGAAGAATCGAGGCCTGAAATAAGGAGATTTATCTAAGCTCACAAGTTAGTGTCAGAGACTGGCCCACTCCCCTAGCACCCCGGGAATAGCTCCCCTTCTTCCGTGTTTCCCTGTGTCTATACTCGACTTGCCCATCCCTGGTGGAACCCACTCAGCAAACACCCTGGCCTTGCACATCCTTGTGTGTCCCTGCAAGACCCAGCAAGGGGCCTTGGACGTAACCATCACTCAGACAGCATTTGCTGAGGAGGTCCATTGGCCTTGAGTGTTTCCTGACCTCCAGCATCTCACACCCTTAGCTGGCTCATGTACTTGTGTCTAGGCAAGGCCTCGTGTCTCCTGATTAACCCCCACCATCTTCTCCACAATGGAAACTGTCGAGGTCAATTATGTGTCACTTAGGTGTTTTAATCTTTGCACAGAAACATTATTTTTTCTTGCTATCCTGGAAGAATTTCACAAGAATTTCAGAGATTGACTAAACGGTCAGAGAATTTCTGCATTTCTGCCAAACTGTGCTTAACAATAATGGCAGAGACATATAGCGTTAGCCCGAAAGTCACGCAGGAGCGGGTTCAGGTGAGAACAAAGCACCGTGTGTGCAGATTGGCCGCGTGGCGCGGGCCTCACAGCCCTGCTCTGCTGCCAGCACGGGTGACCCAGAGAAAGCTTCGGGAAAGGCTGCCACAAGTGGATTTGTTTGGGGATTTTGCTTATACGTTGTCTTTGATGTGGTCTTGTATCAGTTCAGTTCAGGAGCTCAGTCGTGTCCAACTCTTTGTGACCCCATGGACTGCAGCATGCTTGGCCTCCCTGTCCTTCACCATCTCCAAGATCTTGCTCAAATTCATATCTATCGGTGATGCCATCCAACCATCTCATCCTCTGTTGTCCCCTTCTCCTCCCATCTTCAATCTTTCCTAGCATCAGGGTCTTTTCCAATGAGTCTTTGTTACATGGAGAGATGTAAAACACAGCTTGTTTTCAAAACCATTAGTAGTGACTGACAGTACATACTTCAGTGGTGCCCAGTGATCTGAGCATACCATGTCATTCTATACTTGCTCACTCTTCACTGAACAACTTGCCACATAAGGAGGACGTGTTTAGACTCACTTGACCTTACTACACAGCCCTAGGTTCATGAGGAATGTCTCAGAAGGCTGGTGGAGAATAGTGGTGTGTCTAGGACAATTGACTGTGTTTCAGCTCTTGACTTAGCTCTTACCCTAGCTGATGGCCCAAGTGCTTCCTCTTGTGATGAAATATTCAACAGAGTGGCATTCACAGCTTGCACTGAGGCCTTTCTGCTTCGTTCAACCGGTTGTAACAATGGTTTCTCTGGTTGTAAGGGGATTTGTGTGTAACTTTAGTTTGTAAGTGAGAACTATAAAGATTTCTGGTTTCATAAAAGTGGAGTTGAGAGTTGGGCTTTTATTTCATCAGAAAATGGAAAGAAACCCACTGGTTTCTTTAATATGTATTTTCTAATTTGAGCATGAATTGCACACCAAGAATTGTCTTAATTACAACTGATCTTTTTAGGAAAGCTGTCTTTGATATCCTGTCTTTGTCACCACCACACCCTAGTCGTTCCACAGTCTGCTGGGGGCTGTCTTCTTTCCTTACCACTCTATAAACACAGTCCTAAAGGTTAACGATCTTGACCTTACCTAACTTAGTGGGATGTTTTCTGATCTTCCTCTTATTTGACCTCTTAGCAATGTTACACTTGACCAGTCTCCAAATCTTGAGAAATGTTTGCCCATACTACCTGTGACTATACTGTCTGATGGTCTTCCACCACTCCAATCACTCCTCAGTCTTCTTTACTTCCTTGTTCTCTTCTTTTGGTCATCAGAAGTTAGAATTCGTCATGGCTCAGTCCCAGGCATCCTTTACTTCTTCATATGTACAGTTTGGGGCCTAATATACCCAGACTTGTTTCTCAAGTTTTAATATCTAGTCTTGACTTCTGTTTATCCTAAAGGAAATCAACCCTGAATATTCACTGGAAGGACTGAAGCTGAAGCTGAAGCTCCAATACTTTGGCACCTGATGTGAAGGGCCAACTCATTGGAAAAGACCCTGATTCTGGGAATGATTGAGGGCAGGAGGAGAAGGGGGCAACAGAGGATGAGATGGTTGGATGGCATCAGCGACTCAGTGGACATGAACCTGAGCAAACGCTGGGAGATAGTGAAGAACAGGGAAGCCTGGTGTGCTGCAGTCCGCAGGGTCACAGAGTTGGACATGACTTAGTGACTGAACAACCACAAAAGACAACAACTTGACCTCAGTGGAAGACAGATGTCAATGAAGTCGAAAGAGTGTGTAGATTGTCTCCAAAGGCAGTTCACAAAGATGTGCTAGAAATGTGTGAGGAGCAGGTGAGGACTGGAGGTCTGGGCAGGGTGCCAAGAAGTGAAGACATGATGGAATTTGCCAAGGAAGAGAAATGGGAGCCCTCACGGGTCTGAACCTGGCGGTCTGTCCAAGATTGTGGCCTGGATGCAGAGTCATGTCCAGATGACTGGGGCTCGTTTGATTTGGGGTTGATGGGAGTGGCTCGGACCTGCAGTCCAGCTCCCTGGTCATGGGGTAGAACAGCGACAGCACCTTCAGTAAGAAAGCAGAGTCTGGGTGGTGCTGAGCCGGTGCTTACGGAAGTACCCATGAGGTAAGAAGTTGGATAGGCGCGCTTGTCCAGCCAGGAGGAGAGAGGGATTCGGGAAGGCGGGGTGGGGAGAGCTGAGGAAAGGTGAGGCCAGAGGAGAGAAAATTGGGGAGTGGGGGTTCAGTCCACAGGGAATGCGACTCAAGTTTAGTGGAGAAAGTGGACGATCGTGAACAAGCTGTCTTTCATTTACATGAAATGATCCTCTTTTGATGGACGGGTACACTTTCTCAACTGCATCCATATTTTACAATATGACTTAGAATCTTGACACAACAATTTCTGCAGCCATCTGCATCTCTCACGTGTGACAAGATTGTTTAGATCAGTCTTTTTGATGCAAAAGTTTCCAATTGTTCCTACTTTCAAATTAAATAAAAAATATTCTGCCTCCCCAGCCTCACCCTCAAAATTCCAGAGGAAAATCTTTACTGTAGACATTAATCTGGTTTCCTGTCAGACAGAAGAAGGAAGGTAACGGGGTGTGGTTTGGGAAATGCATCTTGCTTTCCAGTTAACTCCATGCTATTTAAGTTATAACATTGAAAAGAGAGAGTTTATTGGGTCATTGTGCATGTTGCATGCCGCTGATAATTTCTGTCTGTACACTCACTTTTCAAAGAATAAAGAAAGACAATAATAGTCTCAAGGCATCAGGAAAAAATTGATTCTTCCCTTGTGACTTATAATATATACCACATAGGGTCATAGAGGGGAAAAAAATCTCAATTTCCCAATCTCACAATAATTTGAAGATAAATTCTCCTATTACTAGGTAAGCTTAAAGCACATATACCCCTGTGGGCTTATGATCAGCTGAATGGATTCTAGAATAGTTTAAAATTGAGATCATGTCTACAGACCCAAGGCAGCACATACTACTGTCAGGGGTTTCATGCTAAAAACAAAGAGAACATTACCAGGCCTCTTTTTTGATCATGGCAGCCAACTAGGAATTCCCTGGTCTCTTCTTGGCTTGCTCATTTTCTGCAATGTATTGCATTTTCATCCTGTAAAAATGTGTCTCATTGAAGCCCCCATTCTAGGCACAATTTCCTCGTTCTCAAAATTGATGATGAGATAAACACCACCCTATTGAAAAGATCTCCATCAAGGGAAGAGCTCTTCTCTTCAACTGTACAGGACATGATGATAAATATATTTGAACAGGGCTAGAGTGAAGTTTGAGGTATAAACTTTCAATCGTTACCTAATTTAAATAGCTTTTGACACACATCGAGCAAGCGTTTTTGAGCTGTGAAAAAAGCATTCCTGAAAGAAAGTGCCAGGTTGGCTAATTTTTGCTGATATAATAAAAAGACAAGACTGGAAATTTAACATTTAAGACATCATCAAAAGCCATGAGTGTTTAAACATTTCTCACTCTAAAAGTTGCAAAGCCAAAGTATTCTTTCCAATTAAAATAGTAATTAATAACAGCTTAATTTATTATTTATGCATTAGACCCTGCCAAATGGCAAATTAGGAGGAAAAAGTATTGTATTCATGCAAACCATTTGAAAAAGCCAAGTAA